AATGAGATGTGTAGTGTGAGAACTACTCCCATGCAACTGCTTTTGCTAAAGCTTTTAGAATTCAGCATGGCACCACACTGCAGTCTGTAGTATCAGGAGTTTACGTGAATAATATTAAGTTTCCTAGGAAAAGTTCTCTCTGAGAATTTCATGAGATAAGCATGATAAACCACAGGTTGTTTTTAACTGCATTTGGCAATAAAAAGAGTTGGGGTTTAGTTACTAAGTCTAGAAAATTACAAATGGTTCTACTAGCCTAGGGTATTCCAAATTTCATGGCCTGAAGTTAAATACAGTTTTAGGGCTTTATTTCAGAGGCACAGTTGTAACATTTTATCCTATGAAATGTCTTCTTATTTGTAAACACATTTACGATCGACTTTTGTAGGTTTTGGCGGTGACAGTAAAGCTGAGATCAGACAAAGGACAACACAACTGTAGATTTTAGCCCCAAAGAGTAAAAAGATGTAGACATACAAAATGGATAGAGGTCTAATGTGGCTCTTTCTACAACTAATGACAAAAGTAAGAATGCCCGTTTCCTTTGGTGGGCTCTAGCTGAGGCCCAACAGAAAAGTCTGTATTATTCTCCTCCTTCATACATACATGGGGCTGCTATCAGCTTCAACGGAAAATATATTTGAGCACGTGCAAGTAACCCTAGAGACTGCCTGAGTATGTTGCTGTGTATGTAATCTAGGCAATTTACCTGCCTCTTCAGCTGCAATACCCATTCCACTTTTGGCACAAATCACACGTACTGTTTCCACATTCTGGAAAACTGCATTTTCTTCCTATACATTTTAACCTGTGGGACCAGCCTGGGTTCAGAAGCAGACTGCTGTACATTCAGCCACACTGCTTTGGGACAGCTGCCGCGTAAAAAGGTGCTGCCTGGAACGTGCTAACTCACAGCAGCGAGTTATTCTCCTCCTCCTCGACTAAGGGAAGTCTCTGCTTACATTGAAAAGGAAATACAAAAGAAAGGAGCTTAAATTTGGTTGGAATGTGACTAAAGGCTCACTATTTTCTGTCATGTCTTCAGAAAGCTCTCTGCTGAGAGTAGAGCTCCCTTCCAAACTCAGCATGCTTTGACCCTGCAATCAACATTATAGAAAAGCCTCACTTCTGTGCCATTTTCTCATGAGCCCTCTGTGGTGGAGGCACCGAGTGCTGCTCATATATTAAGGGAGTACATTGTCTGTCAGAGGGCAACCAAAGAGCAGCAAAACTAAAACCCATGGATGGGGAGCAACTCCCCAAGCTTCATGGGGACACAAAAATACATCCCTTTCAGGATGTGGCGCTCTCAATTTTCGAAGGACCAGGTCATGTTGCTTTCATTCGCATACTATAAAATATCTCTTCCCAAAGCAATGAAAGCTGAATTCCTGATTATTTTGATGATCTTAGCAAACACTGAGGAGGAAAATTCTATGGGGCCTAGAAATAATCAATACATTATGAGCTCCATAGCTAGGCTCTAAATCTTACAGGTCCTAGTCTCTTTTCCTAGAAAGCCCCTGAAGTATGTGTATTTCACTTGCCCTTTAAAAACAAATGTCTAAGGTTTTTTTGATACTGCAATATTCCCCAGATCAGCATTAGCCCGTGCAAAATGTGCACCTGTGTCATATGACTGTGAGGACTGCTCATGATCTGTGCAGTCCTGTCACCAAAGCACCTATGAAAGAGAGAGAGAACTGGGAACAGTGTGCACAGAACATAACTGCTATATAGGCTCATGTTAGTGATAAATATCCTTCTTGTATTCTGTCAGATCTGTGGCCATGTAACACATTCCTGTAATCCCAAAGCTGACAGTGGGGTTTTGTCCAAATCAAAGATTTGGGAATTTACCTCTCTTCCAAAACCTCTGGATTGTCTTTGGTGAAATACCAATTACTTACCACTGAATCTTTCAGTGTTTGCAACATTCATACAAGCTTGGCAACGTTTTTCTTTAATCACATGAAACTGCCTAGCCAAAGAGGTTCCACTTTGACCATTACAACATCAAAGGCATAGAGCACATCCAGCATATCATACATATAAAAAGTAAATAATCATAATTATGTATATATTTAAGTATGTAATTATGCTATTTAAGTATGATAGCTCATAATAATTAAGTTAATGGCATACCAAAATACTCTAAGAAACTGTTTCTCCACTCACATGTAATATAACTAGTACTTATGTTCTTTAAGTTGAACCTGGACATAGGTATTGCCTTTTAAAAATTAGTTCATATTTTTTTTAAAAAACAAATCAATTTTGTTGACATTAATTCCTTAAAAGGGAAAGGCCACTCCATTTTCCAAGGTGGATCCTTGCAGGATGCAGTCTTCATCATGTGCAGTTAGTATTGGCTTGCTTTTTCCTTGAAAAACTGGGACTAGGCCCCTGCTCAGACATCATGGTAGATCATATGATTCAGATCAAATGGTTTGAGAATAAAAAAAGAGCATCACCAATATAAAGCAAGCAGTAGCAGTTCACTTGCTTCCCCACACCCCACGTGTATCTGATAAACTTCCAGCGTAAGGCAAACGCTCACTGAATTTGTTCAATGAAAAAGTGCTGCTGATATATTTGAAAGGGTTGTAACAAACTATTAAAACCTTTGTAAATAAGCTTTTACCAAAGAATGCAACACTGTACTTATGAGGCAGGTTCTTAGAATCACAGAATCATTGAGGTTGGAAAATACCTTTAAGATCATCAAGTCCAACTGTAAATCAATGTTTGTTTTCAAACAGAAAGGAAAATTCTATGGGGCCTAGAAGTAATCAATACATTATGACCTCCATACATAGGTCCTAAATCTTACAGGTCCTAGTCCCTTTTCCTAGAAAGCCCCTGAAGCATGTGTATTTCAC